GTATCCGCCCGGGGGATGACCCATCGGCTGCTGCGGCACGGCCAGCGCTTTCTCCTGCGCTTCGCCTTGTCTGCAGACATATTCTTTCCTTCCCACCCCCCCGCCGCCACCGGCGTTTCACTTCGCTGGGGATGGAGCAAGTGCAGGTGAAGAGCTGCAGGACCACCTCTAAGGGCCATGCTGCCGCCAACCTCAGAAGAGATGCATATTATGCAAGCTGAAGCTTGGGCCTGCTTCCAATTTAAAAAAAAAAAAATCTTGCTTGCATTTTTCCCTTTCACAGAGGAAGAGAGGCCAGCTGTCACATAAATGCATGAGAAGGAGTTACAGAAGTAGACTGATATTAGTCCTAGTTGTAGCATTAAAAACTGGTCATTTGTCTCCAATTGGCTTTCAAAACTGTTGTACAAATAACGATACAGATCAATTGTGTTAGGTAAAGGAACCGCCCTCCTTTTTATTTGATTCAATTAGTATACCTTGTGTACTGTCAGCTGACCAGAAGCAGGTATGCAGGTACCAGTGACCACATAACTAAGGGAATTGCACACATTTCCTATTCTTTAATGTCTGTTTGGTTACAGGGGTCATCACTTGAGGCTAGCAGATTGAACAGTAGACAGACTATAACTGACACTTTAAGTGGAGTAACAAGTATTTCCCGAGGCATCTTCTCACCTTACTATAGTGTAGACAGCGATTATTCACCCTCTAAAAATTACAGGCTACAGGTAGTGTGCAGTGGTGCAATACTGCATTCTGATCCTTCTATATCAACAGTAGTAGCATAGAGTTCCCAAATTACAATGTTAATGGGTATCCACAAAGCAGGTGAGAGAACAGGGAAAGAACCTTAAGAACAAAAGCACTTCTGCAGCAGATGTTAAGACTGGATGAAAATAACTGGTAGTAACTAAAAAAAGAAAAAGTTCCCTAAGCTTGAGAACTACTGTTTACGCTCGGTGACACTCATTGCCACTACTACACTGGTTTCTCCCTCTTGTCTCCAGAAGCCCCTCCTTTTTACACAGCACAGCTCCAAATTTTTTGGTAGCCCTACTGCGTTCACTTCCATAGTACTTCCCCTGACTTGCCATCACCAGTGAAGTATCCTGCTTTATCAGCGGTGAACCGTTTTTCTCAATATAAACATGCACAGCATCTAATTGACCTGCATTATTGCTCAATTCAAACTAGTGATTGAGTGACTGAGTGAAAAATCACAAACTGCAGTGTGAGAAGCTTGAAAATAGGAGCATTGTTCTAAGAACTTGCAAAACAAACACACTGATGAACACATACAAGACAGCCCTGTGGTAGGTAGTGGCAGGTCAGCCAGTGAACCCGGTCAACGTTTTGTGCAGATGCAAATAGCAAGAAACAGTGAAATTTTGTCTGTATGTAACTGTGTTCTGTCATTACTTTTCTAGCAGTGCATGCTGTTCATGGAAGTCTTTTTCCATTATCCAACATCAAATGAATCACTGGTTACCTAGAAGAGTTTCCTATTACTCCTAATTTTCTCTCGTCTTTACCCAGAGCAAAAACCACCAACAACCCACTCTGCCAGTCCAGTGCATTCTTCTAGTGTTTCTTCTGCTTCCACGCTCTGACACTTGCTTCCTTTCCCAAGGCTCCTTATTTTTCTTCTGCTTTAGGTAGCCTTTTTTCCTCCCCTGTTAAAGGGCTCTCTTTTACTGGGCTTGTAAGAAGAATTAGGGAGAAAGAATACAGTATGGGCTTTCCTTTCCTCCTCCAAGGAGACAAGTAGGCAAGACAACACAAAAACATGGAACAGGTTCTGTTACTGCTGCTTTTACCAGTTTAAGGAATGAACTGACTTTTGCTGCAGTTAACTCCTTTTCTATGTAACTCACCACCTGGTACTCATACAGTCCAAGATACTAACCAGTAGACTGGATCTGAAGAATTAGAAGCGTTTAAATGCTTCACAGGTTAGTTTCAGATGCCCCAAAATGCTGTCAGAAACCCTCTGCTATTAATGACTGAGAATAGTGGAAACGATGTCCTTTCAACACTTCTGTTATCTAAGAGTCTTCAGTAATATTAACAAAAGCACACAGCATTATCTGGAGCTATTCAAGAACCCTGGAAGAATTAATACACTCAAATCCTCCTTTTCTATTCCAGGACTCTTTCAGAGTGATCAAGTTGTTAATCCTCACCACAGTCCAACATAAAGTGAATTTCACATCTATAGTTCATCACAAAAATATGCTCCAAGACTGGGCTTAATAACATTGAAGTTCACATTACTGAACATGTAAATAACTACATATAAGAAATACTGTAGAAGCCTGAATGTTTTTACTTGGAACATTTGAAATCTGAAACCTTAAGAGTTCAACAAAACCTGAAACAATCTCAAATGTCTGAGTTTATCTTTAATCATTTATCTTAACGCAATGATCACCAAGTTTTCTTTTGATACAGAAATCAAGGCAAGTCTTTCAAATCCCTTGTGGACCACAAAGCCTTATATCAAGGAGTTGGGTATGATTAGAGAGAAAACTAGTTAGTAGTTAGCTGCTTATTTCTCTCTAAATATTCTAGAGTCCTCCAGCTGCCCTACAATATTCAATTTAGATAGGACATATCAGCTAAATAGTAGGCAATAAGGAAGGAACGTAAGTAAATCACCCTTTTCCAGTCAAGTCATTTGCAGAGTTATCCTGTTAGGCATTACATCAAAATAATGGTAAAATGCAAAAACATTGTGTGCAGAACTTGAAATGTCCAAACAAAAAACTATTAAAGATTTTCATACAAAGATGCCAATGAATGGAGGAAGGAGAGAAGTGGGACAAGACAGCTAACTGTCTAGTCCAGCTTTAAGAATGGGAAGAATATGGCATTCTAGAGCTTTTATGTTTCAAACTCTGTAGGTAGGCAAACTGAGCAGTTCTGAACTGTTTCCCTTAAATCGTGCATGTAACTGAAACGGACGGATTGCAAAGACATGAATAGTAGTTGTAGCACATCAGCTCCATAATGCATAAAAACCCTAATTTATATTCAAAGTATACATTAAAAAAAACTTGCCTACTCTGATGCTAGGTTTGGAATAAGGTAGTCCTTTTCTATATGAACTGGAACACAGCTTTGTTTTTACAGTACAGCAAGCAGTGTAGTTATAGGCTAGTATGTTAAATTCTGTCTTTGCATCAAAACACGATGCTGGCTATGTCCTCGTTTTATGCTAGGGAAAAGAATGTCAGTTCCCATAGTGCCTGTGGAAGTACTGCAACAATGCCTGCCTAGCTACAGGAATGTAGCTATTAGAGACATTAGATTAACCTTTCAGAAGCATTCAGCAACTTCAGTTAAATTACAGATGATCTTTTGATCCATTAGTTTCTCATAGGCACCATATATCATTTATGTATAAGATTTTTTAATGCTTATTAGGGGGCTGCTTCACCCATGACTTACATTTGTATTTATAAAATTCATTTTCCCATCTCTATGCAATTCACTGATTTCATTTTATAAATCTAGTATTGTACAGGGTAGCAAGTTTATATATAAAATAAGAATATATATATTTGCTCTCAAAATACTGACAGTAACACTGCTTCTACAACATGTCAGGAAGTTTCACAGAGCCTGTTGAAAGAAAGGTGCGACTTGACAATATGAGAAAAACATTATGCAGAGAAATCTGTACTAAAAAATTTGAGTCAGAAGACAGAAGAGTCTGGGAAAGCTACTGTTACTCAGAGTATCAAAACTAAAGATAAAGAGTACAGTAAAAATAATACTAGTCATCTCGCATCTGTCATTAATTGTAAGAGGAGTGTACTTTCATGGCAGATTTTAGAAAAGGCAGACAGAATTCCCAGGATTTTTGCACGGTTTCAGTTGAGTAAAATGTTCGCATTTCCAAACATTTTACATTACTTTGAAATATACATTAAAAATATGATTCATTTGCCAGATTTTACAAGCACATATATTCAGTATTAATATGCAGTAAATTAGTTACTTTGATCTTGAACTTTTTAAAAAAAAAAATCAGGAAAAGAAATACCTTAATTTCCTACTTCTAGATTAGTTCTTAAAAGTAGCTGATACACACAGCAGTAAGGTGCAAGAAGGAGCTTTACATCAAAAAAACTCCCTTCGTATACTACACGTAGGATGTGTTAACTGTTCTGTTGTATTGCATCTTACTCCAACTGCACGCTTTGTCTCTGTTGAATAAATTTGTACAGAAGCGGCTTACTTGTTGCTGTTCATTCTTTCAGTAGATTTCTGTTCATTTTTTGTAACATGGTAAAAAAAAATCATTTTCAAGTTTTTCCTGGCTGCTGAATGGTAGTAGGAAGAATGAGACTTCAGTAAGAATCATCTCTTACTGAACCTACCAGATTTTTTTTTTTTTTTAAAAAACAAAACACATCTTGGAACACCTTTCCCGTTACATTTTTTTTTTATGAAATTAAAAAGCAGCATGCAATGAAATTGTCAGAGGATCCATTTTCAGTGTGATTGCTTGTGCGTTTGCCAAACCTTCAGTTTAATCATTTTTGCTCCTTTTTTGAAGAACATTTACTTAGTAAAAGTTCAAAGACTTGTCACTGGAGTTAATATCTTTTGACCTATTGATGTTCATAAATGGACTCCTTGAGTGAGTCACTTTTCAATCTACAGAACCACTTTGTTATAATCTAGAACTAATTATGATTATCCTCTACAGCAGTTAGTACCATGATGAGTTAGAGGCATTACACTTCCTGTTGCTTGCTGCCCCTTTTTTTTTTTTTTTTAAAGTATTAAACATAAATCATTTTACTGAGATTAAAGTTACTTTATTATTTTCAGAGTTTACCACAAATTATAAAAATCCTTAGAGGTCAGCTCGAACTCCAAACCCTGGTCCTTTGGGTGGTTCAGTCAGAGAAGTAAGGCCACCAGCTGGCTCACAAGAAAAACGTCCACTCCTGAAAAAATGACAGCAGTGTTAATCATGGCTGGTATTAACCTCTAATACTGTTTTATCACTGGATAGAAGACAGTTACGAATCTGACTTAAGCCAAGGCCACGTTCTTCCTTTTTTGTTCTTATTCATCCTTCAGAAACGTGGGATACCACTCTTAAAAAGTCTTTCAAATTGAAGTACAGTGCCAAATATGCAACTTGATAACTGAAATGCATAGTAAGGCCATCAGTTATTTTTATAGGTAGGTCAAGCAGAAGTGACTTTGACCCCAGCAATACCAAAGGCTATCCAGTTGTATCAGTCATCTAGAAGCTATAACTGTTAAGATTATCTTCTGCCTATTCAAAAAAAAAACCAACAGATTGCACATCCAAGTGAAATGGTACTAAGTAATTCCTAAATTCACATACACATCTGTATATTTGGGCTGAAAACAAAGGGAAGTAATACACAAGAGAGAAACCTTTTACAAACTCTGATTTTTGGATTTTTGACAATAACCAGAAAGATCTAGAATTTGTTGGTTTAGGTGGTCCGGGAACAAATTCTTGATGCCGTTCACCTGTTAATTAAGTACTGAGCCAGATCAGAATTCCCATTTCTTCACTGCTTGTTCCTGTAGTTAGTCACTAAAAGCATACAAATAATCTTCTCACAGTTCTTTCCAGTTTTTTTTTTGTTTTTTTTTTTTGGCTTGGAAGATATAAAAAGGCACTGAACACATACCAAGCTGTTCAGCAAATTAATTAATGCTTTTTAGCCCTAAGCAGTCAACTCAAATTCCTGTAACAGGAATTTAGTCTCTTTTCCTCCAAGGGATCAGCCTTCAAGTAGTTAGGCATTATCATACAAATATAGCATACCTTGGACCAGGTTTGGGAACTCTGCCAGCCTTAAGATCGTCAATTATGTCTTCAATATCTTTGGGTGTCAAATCTTCCTGTAAAAAAAGATCATTGACTATTAAAGCAAAAATTAGTCAGCAATTGTGCTAAATGCAGCATTCACAAATCAGGAGATTAGCGGCCCCCTTGGCTATGATCCTAGCATAGGTAATTTTGATCCTACCATTAACGTGTGCGTAGTGATTTAAGAATTATGAAAAACTGAAAAGCCTAAGGTCATATTTTAATGTTAAAATTTCTGTTTTATATAGTTGCAGAAATAATGTTAAAATCAACAATATTCAAGCTGGTGGTCATCTATTACATAGGTTTGTTTTCAGCTTCCCATTGTATTAGTGAACTGGATTGCTGCCTACCCAATATATGCATGCTGTTGCATACCCTGCATGACCTCAGCTGTGCCAAGAAAATTGTGGACATAGTGCAAGAGAACAGCTCTAAAAGTGTTTTAAAAAAGCAGATGCTGTGATAGCAAAATAAAGTATTTTATATATATTTATATATATTAAAATATATGTATTTGTATTTTAAACATGTTACTTAAAGGCTGAATTCTTTCAACAGATCCATGAATTCCCTTGGTCTGATGCCATCCTAGTTAGCCATAATTCAGAAACTTAAAAGTTTACAGATAGTGTCAAACCAGACCATACTTTCCAAATAAAACTGTTTTAGAGTGCTTTTAAAAGCTTAACAAACACCAGTTTAAAAATATTTTCAAAATTATCTTTAAATAAAATCCATGATAACACAACTTCTCAGTCCAGAATTAAGGAGGCTACTGTCACAAAAATGCATCATTCATCCACACTTGCATAAGTCAAGAAAGTGACTGAAAGCAAAAAAAACTGGGATTGCATTTTAGCATATAGTCTTGTTCCTTTTTCCTTACCATGCCAAAGCTTTTGCTTCTCAATACCATTCTTAAGCTTCATTTCTCTTCCATAGGCTACACCGTTCCCCTCAGGAAACTTACAATTCATCAAGCTGTTTAAGACAGCGTTATGCTACCAATGACTCAGTGACATTCCCTAACGTTGTGAAATATGGTGTATTTTGAAGTTAATATCTGCACTAAGCTAAGAAAATTGACTTCTTACCAATTCATGGTTATGGGTTTTCCTAATATACTATTATGCCTCTCACTCCAAGTTAGTTCTGTAGTGAAAAAAGTACAGGTTAAAAAGGGAAATAACTGCACTGACGAGAACTCTAGTTTCAAAGCAGAATTTACTTCCTTTGTTACAGTATTTTTGTGTTCTCATTTTGCTTATCCTGGCTATGGTAGAGAAGCTCAAGAATCTAACCAGAATCCAACTGTGGAAAAACAGAGATGTTTAAATTTTAAAAAATTTATACAGTAGCAGTATGCTGTATTTACGTGAAGTATGAAGGGCAAAAGACAGTATTTGGTTCCCTTCGTATTTTAGAAAAAAGGCACAAGAAAAACAGTCTGCTTCAGATACAACTAGTACATTTTTGACTGTTGTACAGGAACAATTTCTAGAAAAGGAAGATCAAAACAATTGAAGGAAGCATCTTTAGGAGGACAGAGAAAATATTTACCTAAAAGGCTATTAAGCAAACTAAATAATCATAAAAGTGAAATGGAAAGTGTTTTGCATTAGAAACCAAGAAGTCGTTTTTTATGACAGCATTTCATTATCTTTTATGTTAAAAAAAAAAAAAAAAGATTCTGTACCACAAATCCAGTTTAATATATTAATGAGTGGGGAAAACTGACCAGTTAAGGCTGCAACACATAAATGATTCTACTGATAATCAAAATAAATGAAGACAAAGGTGAACTGGAATAAAGAGTTATGAACAAAATTCAAACTTTAAAAAAAGGAGTTTGATACCAATATCCCGTAAAGAATAATTTTATCTACTCATAAATTCTATGATGGCTTAAGAAAAAAAAATATATCACCACATCAATGGAAGCGCTCCCAATATTTATCTGTGGTCAGGAAAGATAATGTTATTAGATAAAGAAAGCACAGCTCTTGCTCCCTGCAAATGCATAACCTTTACATACAGGAGAGAAAATAGAGTCTTCATTGCAAACAGCACCAGTGAGATGTCATCAAAAAAGACTACATAAAAGTTTTGGAGAGGTAGGTGATATTCAGCCTGGAGGTAGGTGGTGTTCAGTCTGAAAAGCCAGTACTGTCTTCAGAAAGACATCCAGAACAAGGTACTGGCCCCTGTTTCATTCTTTACAAATGCAGGGGAAGGAGACGCTCAGTGATGTCAAAGGAAGATTCTCAATTTGCTTTCCATCACTCTCTTCACCATAGATAAGACCTGGAGTACACAAGAATCAAACTACTAGGGCCAAGAGCTTACTTTCAGAAAGTAACCGATGTTACTTATCAGCCATGTATGGCTGATACTTCAGAAATGCAAGAGTACAAGCATGTAAGATATTTGAGTCCTTCAGCACATTAAATCAGTTTTAGCTAATGAGGATTAGGAAGAAATTTTCTTCACTGGCAGGTTATTCTAAACAGTATTTCAGGATTTCTGTGGTTCATATATTTAAGCCAGTCCAAAAAAAACCAAAAAACAACGTTACCAGCTTCTTAAAAGAATTTTTAAACAGGTAACCTCCTTAGCTGTGTTCCCAAGGAGAGTTTCTGGAGAAAAGAAATGACAACTTCTATCCAGCCATCACTTTAGCACTCAGAACACCATCAAGTAGCCCTTAAATACAAAAAGGGACTTTATCTTTGTCTACCATAAAGACAGTCTCCTGCTTAAACAAATGGAACACTGAAAGCAGTGTTAAGACACTGTGCCATGAGTTAAACATGTATTACCATTCGGTACCATTAGGAACATTGTATGGTAACATCATGTTGAATTCATGATAAAGCATATATTGACAGTGAGCTTCGTATTTCAAGATACAAAAGACCCCATTGCATTGCCTAATATTCCTATATTAAACTAGAGAAGTATAGCGCTATTTGGTAGTCAGGCTGCACACTCATTAAGGTCCATATAGAAACTGTCCCAGTCAAATTTTAAAAGAGAATATTGGAAGCATCAATCAAAATGGAGTAGGGATTGTCCAAGCGACTTTCAGTACGAATTAGATGCTTTAGATGCAAACACATCATGTGTTTGGAGCTTTAATTATCACACATGAATGTTAATATTCTGTAATCTTAGCACTAAACATCCCACTTAGAATGTATTGCACTTGTGTTAATTTCACCATTCTTACAAATGTGACTGATTCAAAGTTTTTCCTCTAGGGAAGAAAACATAATGGAAAATAACATTTTGTTCTATACCACCACATGTCTAATACTTGTTGGACTTCTTCCACAACGTCCATATAAGCTTATGCCCCCCCCCCTTTTTTTTTATTATTCTTTTCCATCATATGCTACCTAATGACAAAACCAGGCTGTTTGGGCTTAAAGCTTAAAAATGCTGTCTGTGTTATTTCACATGTGGCCAAAAAAAAACCTGAAACAAAACCCAAAGCAGAACTCACACTGAATGCTGTTGAATAAATTTAACATTAAGGGAGTTGAGTTAGTGTTAGTATATGGAAGGGCAAAACCAGTTTGGAACCTAATGATGAACTGAAACTGCCTTTTTAGCAGATGATGCATCATCTGAGCTTGTTGATTAAACAGGATAAGGGGAAAAGTGAAAAGTACTGTAATTGGAGTAAGGCTGTGACATGGAGAGTTGTTAAAAAAAAAATCCCCCCCCAAAGAGTAACAGTCTCTCTCAATTTGAGAGCCACCTGCAAGACTACTCATTCTACTATATGGATATGCCAAAAAAGTGCCTCTGTAAGGATTTCTATTCATGATCTCGTTAACGAAAATACGAACATTTACAACGTCTATTTTTATAGATACTTGAAGACATCAGTACATTATGATACAGATGAAGTGTTCCAACAAGCCAAGAAAGTACAAGATACTGCTCTAAATTGTAAGTTGTCCCTGCCAACAGGAAGTTGAAGTAACTGACCAAAGCTTCAGCATCTAGAAGAATGAAAATACCCGATATAGCAAATTAATAAAATACAGGTTACGCGTTAAAGAGGTTTAGTCTTTTAAAACAGAATGAGATACTTACATAATAATTGTCATTTATTTGTACCATTGGGGCATTCACACAAGCTCCTAAACATTCCACTTCTATCAGTGTGAAGAGTTTATCAGGTGTTGTTTCCCCAACTTTTATACCTAAAACAATAAAGAATATTAGGTTAATCAGTGGTTATTTAATAAGATTAACAAAGCAAGATTTCAAGTTCTCCATGGTTTTCTCATTACTTATATTTTGGCCTTAACAACACAGTTAAAATCTCTTAAATGAGTCCAAAACACCTCTATTAAGCAAGAGGTTCCAATAAGTTCTGAATTCTCCAGATACATTTTGGAGATTTGATTTACAGTTTTACAGATACGACTCCTTAAACAATAATCATGAGGTGACACTTCTGAGAAGCAGAACAGCTTTGCTTAGGAACATTTTTAGCAATCAATACAGTGGAAGAGATAAAGAGGGAGAATATAGCTTTCGTATATTGATGTTAACTTCGTAATATTCAATGCCGAGTACTGATTTCCCAAATTAACTAAGATCCAAGCATTAATATTGTTGGCTACAAATTTAGAAACAACTTCCCAGATTATACATTAAGGTTTCTTTCCTGAACAGCTCTGTACATGTATGTCGCTGCCATGACATTTTTTTCAGTGATATAACCAATACAGATACAGACATCCCCAGACGGCAGTTAAGCCAAGATAACATGGGAGAATGATCTGGCTGAAATAGTACCCTTTTTGTCCTCTGAAGGTACCTTCCTTCATTAATTATGGATGGAGCCAGTGGCAACAGTGCTCTTGCAACTTTGGTAAGTTTATTATTAAGATCACAATAGCCATGGAAACCATACTCATAAAAAGTACAAAGACAATATATGCAAAAGGACATATGGGTATATACAGCAGATATGCAAATATGATACACCAAGTCTTTCAAAATTAAATAGTAATGGTGATCAAAAGGCATTTGTAATAAAGAGCGCATGTATGTGTACTTTTCATTTGTATCTCTATATGCATCCCCTAAGCGCTTCATTTTGTGAGTTTCCCCAGGTTTTCTGCATCATATATTCTATAAATTTCTAGCTTCAGAAACGTTTACTGGTGTAATTCAGAGCGCTAATTTCCAACTACTACAACATTTCATGGTTTGTTAGCTGCACATCTTAAAAAAGTCTCTCTCAGTCTTAAAACTGTCACACACACACACACACACCCCCCATACTGGAGTTCCCAAACTGAATTCTCATGTAAGGCAGTGGGAATAGGCTGTTCTAATGATGGTCCAACCAGCTCTGTGATGGTCCACCAACTGACAAACTGGTAGAGTTCTTTTTCTTTCTAGCAGAACTATTTAAAATAGACACCTTTCTGGTTACTTCAGTGAACGTTATTAACAGATACTCAGCTGCTGGATTTATATTAACCTGTAGTAACTGTACATAATAATTAAGAACTGAAATGCAAACAGCTGAATAAACATAATATTACTATTTTAGTAAGCTGTAACATTGCAGCTTCTTGCCTTTTAGTTACTTTATTAGCATAGCCACAATACTGTTCACATGATACTATTTAAACACAAATTACGAAAAATATTTACAAGGGAAGACGACTCACATGCTCAAAAGCAGTACTAATATAGGATCAAACAAACTCAGAAATAGATAGTGAGAATAAGGAGATTTCTCATCACTGTTACTGTTGCACTGAAACTCCCGTTATTTATTACGTTATAGAGGTACTAAATTACAAAAGCCACTTTGCATTAAATCTGTCAGTCCATCCATGAAAGAAAGCTGAAAAGCAATTTTCTTCTCTAGTAGTAATTAGACAGGGAAAGAAAACTCATAAAAGTCTAAGTAAAGTCTATGTCTCAGTAAGAACTGCATAAACATCCTTAGTTATAAGAAACAGTTGCTTTTCCTTTGATTTCTCAAAGGAAGAGTTTTAATAAAAATTAAGCCATCTTTGAACAGAAATAAGCCATGAAAGTTTTCAGCCAAAAATGCTTTTCAGACAGCTGAATACATGAAAGATAAGATCACAAGCAACTGTTCTGCAACTCTTATCACAGTGGTTCTTACGAAATGTCAGTGTAGCTCGTTGACTTCACAGAAGGGGAAAACTTGTTAATTGCTGATCTTGTCCTCTCTTCTCCACGTAACTCCTCCGCGCCCCCCCCCCCAAAACACACCAAAACCCACAAAACCCATGAGTTATCTCTACACCTCATATGATGTATGAGTCTCAACTGACTTCTCCCATGATAAGTTTATAAATTTTGTTCATAGTACCTTATTCAAAAAAACCTTCAATTTTAACATAGCATATACCTTAAAAAAATCTTATTTTGAATATAAAAAAGATTTATGCAGCATTCACAATCCTCTTCTTCATATTCAAACTCGGTAAGAATGATTCACTTCCTAGCAAATTGCCTAAAAAAAACATTAAAGGCACTCCAAAGCAATGGCCTTTTCTGTTCTAGTGTACTGTTATCTTATGATTTGGCATTTATTCTTCATTTTCAAAATTTGAAGTGTTGAGCGCTCACTCTACAATGATTTCACTCTGAATTTTAAATATTTTTGCACGGTCCCCACCATATGAAGAATTTTACTTCAATTAAAAAATAATGCATTATTAAACCAGGGCAAAAAAAACCCACCGCACTTAGAAAAAGTGTATTACAAATTTGTATCATACCGAGTTTCTTCTTAATGGCTTCTAAAATACTATCAGAGTCTCTCAGCATGCAAGGCGTGGTAGTGCAGACCTGGATATGGTATTTCCCAACAGGTTTACGATTATACATTGTGTAGAAAGTTGCTACTTCATACACTCTCATGCGAGGCATTTCTAAAATTTCAGCGACCTACAACACGGGGAAGACAGACACACTATTGAATTCTCAGAGAGCACCCGGTAATGATATATCATAAACAATTTCAATAAAGTCACCTGTCCTCTATCTGCGGTAACAGAGTAACACCAGATAAATGGGAGGGAGGGGGTGGCTATCAAAGCACAACAGTACTGAGGCACTGAGAAAAGACACCCAAGTTTTTGACTCAGTCAGTCCTGCTTGAGCCATGGATTTGCACAGTTAGGAGCTCAAGTCAGTAATCCTCCTCCACCACCTAGCATCACACACACAAGCCGGTTACCAGCAGTCGGCTGGGTTCCAGCTTTTGTATGAGCTCCAGCTCATGCTGCACTTGCACTCTTTTGCTGGGCAGCTTCTATGAATTTGCCCACATTAATCCACTTAAGCCTTTTGGTAAAGGGAAAACACACCCAGGCTGGTGTTAGGCTCACCTAATTCAGGTGCAGCAGGTCTGTCTCAGGTTCCGTGATACACCAGGACTGTCCCTAGAAATAGCACCACTACCTTTGCAGATTGCTGTCACAGCTAATAAATGCAGAGAGAAGCAGGATCAATAGAGCCAGTTCTGGTATAAATATCCCTGGCCTCATCCAATTGGAACGCTGACAAACTGCTCAGGTTGAGAATTGAGCATATTTTTCAAAAGTCTAATTGCTTTATGTTCCAATACCTGTAGCAGGCAAATAACAAAGCCTGGAAAATATTTGTATCTCCAAGTATTTGCTTAAAAACCTGTAAGATCATTTTAAACGTAAAGCCAATCCAAACTTAGGCTAAGCCAACATAAGATGAGGCTTTTCCTATTCAGTATTAACAGAGATTTGAGACTTTATCCTACATTTTAGAAGCAGTAGCAGATAATGTTTCTTTCCGAACAGGCACTTAACTCATTCACTGACCACTATAATGCACACAATCATTTAGCACAGGAAGACTGAACTTAAAGCATTTTCACTTTAAAACTGATGATACACCAGCTTTAAACACACAATATAATAGATTCATTCACAGGAACAAGAAACCACATTTCTATATATTTGCTTACAGTCATATAATCTATCACTTCGGAACACTGTGTTTATTTTGACAGGATTTTAATATGTAATTTGATAAAAAAAATAGTCTTACAGGCCCTTGCTATGGGGTGTTATGAGTCCCTCATTACACATGCTGCACCAAAGCATACTTTGCAGAAGTCATAGTCCTTACAGGCATAGAGATTAAGTACATTCCTAGTCGTGACAACGTGTAGTGCCACTAATCTATAGGAAAGGAGAAAAACCTCTATCATCGTCATCCTTTTTTCTTTTTCCCAAACTCATCAGTGAACAAAACCTTTCAAAAATTGTGTTCTTATTTCCAGGATGATTCCAATAGGAAAAGAGACTAAGTAAGGCTCGTGTAATTTCTGTTTTGTGTCAGCGGTTTCTAGCAATGGGCTAACATTATGTAAGTGACAGTGTCTTCTGTGACAGTTTTCTTTTTTTTTTTTTTTAAAAGGTAGTCTCATAGGAGATTCTTGTAATTCTGTGCCACATTTAAATTCCTGCATTAGTATGCTTTGGTAAAAAATGCTAATATCCTCCTATTAATAGCTTACTTTCAAGAAAATGGTAAAATTAAACTTAAAAGATAGTTGTGTACCTTGTTCATAGCTGATATGGGCAACCATCCATGCTGTCTTTGGGCCAGATCTAGTACTGCCATCACAGCTGCAGATTTGTGTCCCCCTGGATAGTTGTTTACGATTGCTTCTATTCGCTTTTTAAAGGGAAAGAGGGAAAACAAATGTTTCAGTACTGATCCAAGGACAAGTTTTTGCATATTTAAAATGCTTTTTGGTCTGCCTACCTTCTGATTTTCAGGTGTGAACTCAAATGGAGTATCTGGATTATTTTCAGGACTGTCTCTGTGCTTAAAAGAAAACAGATATGTAAAAAATAAGGTTTTTAGAAATTATTCAGGACAGATTTACTGTTGTAAAATGTATTAAACAGTTACAGGTGAGCTTCTTGAATAAGATGGATTTTATATGTTTCCAGATTAAAATTTCATAGTTTTCAATCATAAATGACTAAATACCTCCTAGAAAGTTACTGAAAATAATGACAATTATTTCATCACTTTTAAAGATAACTACGTTCCTGTGATTTCCTATTAAATATATATTCCTCAATAAATAATTATTTGAACACAGGCATTTGTTACACTGTTAATACAGTGTGGCAATTGAGTTCAAACTCACAGGTGGATTAACAGTTCTCTCGTTAACACCTTAATAAACAACAGGGCACTAACCAATAGCCCGTCCCCTCCCTCAAGAGACCTTAACTATAAAAACCTTTAAAAGTCATCATGAAGCTTGCTATATAACTAAAACGTCTGCACATTCTTCAAACACAATATTAACTGATTTTATCATACACTCCTGATTAAAAATGTTGAAATTTGTTACGAATCCTATTTTGAAACAATTCTGGACCATAATGGAAGAAGGAGAATACTGAACTCACGTTTCCAAAGCAAAATATTTTGCATCTCATAAAACTGAAATTACTTTTAATTTTTATTTTCAGAAAATAAATTTGAAAGTTTTGAAGAATGCAATATTTTCCTTTAATGAAATCTTAGTTCTGATAAAATCCTTATCCACCAGGAAAACTTTCTGTGCAAAATTTTCAGTTATCTCTAAACAGCTTGTTATGGCGTCCTTGAAATGATCATAGCTAAGTTTCATTTGAAATTTGGATAAATTTCAAATTAAAATGAATTTTGTATTGAGAAAGTTTCAAATTAAATGGAAAGTTGGGGGAAAAATGCAACCCATGCTTGAAGCTTAAAGTTAAAACTAGTCTAAAACCTGCTAGTAAATAAAGCTTTTTAATAAGTGTATTTAGGAGAAAGAAACCCACTCCACTGACTCTCACTTTGACTGTTTTCTCAAGTAACCTAAGGTGTGTTTACAATATCCACACCACCTTCTAATTAAATAGTAAAGGATATACCTTGAACAATCTTTGTATCGCAAGATGCTAAAAGACTTAATACCATGAAAGATTATCTCTAATGCACAACTTAAAACGTGTGTGTTCCAAGCTGTCAGTGTTCTCTTTATGCAGATTCTTAGATTTAGAAATGTTAATACTGAAAAGCCAAATACTTAACTTCCAATTTCATCTGTTGGTCTAGTGAGAGATTCTCTTGCTTATCTTGCCCACATCCTGGAGCAGACAGTACTACTGCCATGATCGATTTGAGAGCATGTAACGCTACATAGTTCCAAGTTGCATATAAAACTACTGTCAATATATGCTTATCTACCAAGGGTGATTTTCCCTAATAACAAGAATTTCAGAAAGATAATTGATATATTTTGAACACATTAATCTACTATTAAGTATGAATTTATTGCTTATTGTGTGGTCTAGACCATGACATAAAACATCTTTTAGGAATACAATTGCCAGTAGTTTAGACTGACCCTTCCAGATGAAGGATCTGACGCCTCATACATGATGCTGGTCAGAGTTTTCTACCAATTTCAATGAAAGCTCTCAAAAAGTGGCTGATGAGGAAAAACTGCTTGGAAATATTGGGTAACTTGTAATTATTTTTCCCTTACAAACTTGCTCTATTTCTTAGCTGCACAGATCAGATCCATGATAAATACTTCCATAACTTAACTTTTCCTCCTCAAATCTGCATAGCTGTTTTTTTCAGGCTGCTGTTTTGCCTTCCATACATATTTGATACTTATGCTTTTGCCTGATCTCAATTGCATTTGCAAATAAGTATGCTTGATTTATCAAAACCTCCCTCTTTGTTCAGAACAGCTGTTATTTCCAGTGTATCATCTCTAAACTGATAACTCCTCCTCATACATAGGATATTTCAGGATAACAAAGATTTTGTATCAACAGCTACAGTCTGTCACAGTCAGTTCTGTGCAGCAAGACTTCAAGATATGCTATAAAAGGCTACACCGCAAGTGAACACTAAATAAAAACCTGTCACATTTGTTGTTCTCCAGCTTCCTAAGTGAGCTTCATCTAATTATGTACTGTGCGCACAAGGCATTTTGATAGTTTTCATCAAGAGCTTACAGAGTACTAGGCCTACTGCGCTGCCTGGGATTGTCAATCACATGCTCCCTAATCTTCCATTTATCTGAGACTTACATGAGCTGATTTGTTCCTATACAATAAGGATGCATTTCTGCTTTGCCTTTTTTTTTTTTTTTTTTTTTTAAGGCTACAAATTCTGGAGGATGAGATCAGACTCACTGCTTAAGGCCACAGTACTGGAAAAAATATTACGTTGAAAAGAATACATTAAGGCTTCCTCCCCTAATCAAACAATAACGTCTGGACCAATTACCACAATCTGTTGAAGAAAAAGGTCTCTATCCAGACACATTTTTCCCCTGATTCCTTTCTTCTGCGCTCCCAAATTTCCTAAAGTCTCACATAATGTGTTTTAACTTCAAGCACAGCTTGACTATATCACATTTGCATTGTAGCATTCAGCCTACCCTACTTACATGTGAGAACCACACCGTGAGCGTGCACCCAGATAACTGTGTCCTCCTGGATGGTGCTATTATCTCATGCAAGGTACTAAGGCTGCTGGATGTTTATCGCTGATTCTGTTTGCTACAACAAACTGGGCCACTTTATTATTCTTTTTGATTGATCTATGAAACAATTTATCTGTCCTTTGGACACAAAGAATTATTAAAGAGAACTGGAGAATTACAGTAGAATAACCTGAATAATTTAGCTTTCATCTACATTGCTAATACGTTGGTTCACTACCTAAAACAAACCTGAAACTTGACCTATGGTAAAAAAACAGTCTAAAAACACGTGGAAACCAAAATGAGAACGCTGTGTGGATGAAAAGATGATGAAAAGATATCAGGTGAAAAGATATTCACCTGCAGATATTCACCTGCAGATGAAAAGATATTCAGGATAGCAAGCTGGTAAGAACCCACATCAAATCAGCACAGAAGACAACTACACTATGTCTCCTCTATGGGGGATGAAGTACCCTATATTCACTACTTCAGCAGAAGTAGAGATATAAATGAAGAACACTAGAAGTGCTATCAAACCCAAGTTTTGTGCTAACTATCTTCACAAGCAATTAAAAAACTGTAATACAGTAATTCTCTAACTTTCTGTACAGAACCCCTATGCAGATCTACATCACAGAATGGTTTAGGTTGGAAGGGACCTCTGGAGATCATCTAGTCCAACCTCCCTGCTCAAGCAGGGTCCCCTAGAGCATATTTCCCAGGATCACGTCCAGGTGGGTTTTGAATATCTCCAGGGAAGGAGACTCCACCACCTCTCTGCGCAACCTGTTCCAATGCTCTGTCACCCTCACAGTGAAGAAGTTTTTCCTCAGGTTTAGGTGGAACTTCCTGTGGTTCAGTTTCTGCCCGTCGCCTCTTGTCCTGTCACTGGGCACCACAGAGAAGAGACTGGCCCTATCCTCTCGAGACCCCCCCCCTTCAGATACTTGTACACGTTGATGAGATCCGCTCTCAGTCATCTCTTCTCCAGGCTGAGCAGGCCCAGCGCTCCCAGCCTTTCCTCAGAGGAGAGATGCTCCAGTCCCCTCATCATCTTTGTGGCCCTCCGCGGGACTCTCTCCAGGAGTGCCATGTCTCTCTTGTACTGGGGAGCCCAGAATTGGACACTGCACTCCAGGTGAGGCCTCCCCAGGGCTGAGGAGAGGGGCAGGATCACCTCCCTCGACCTGCTGGCAACACTCTGCCTAATGCACCCCAGGAGACCATTGGCCTTCTTGGCCACAAGGGCATATTGCTGCCTCATGCTTAACTTGTTGACCAGGACTCTCAGGTCTCTCTCTGCAGAGCTGCTTTCCAGCAGGTCAACCCCCAGCCTGGACTGCTGCCTGGGGTTATTCCTGCCGAGGTGCAGGACCCTGCACTTGCCTTTGTTGACCTTCAGGAGGTTCCTCTCCGCCCACCTCTCCAGCCTGTCCAGGTCCCTCTGACTGGCAGCACAGCCTTCTGGTGGGTCAGCCACTCCCCCCAGTTTAGTATCCTCAGCAAACTTGCTGAGGGTGCCCTCTGTGCCTTCCTCTAGGTCATTGATGAATACGCTGAACAAGACTGGACCCAGGACTGACCCCTGGGGGACACCACTAGCTACAGGCCTCCAACTTGACTCTGCGCCATTCACCACAACCCGCTGAGCTCAGCCATCCAGCCAGTTCTCAGTCCACCTCACCGTCCACTCATCTAGCCCACGCTTCCTGAGTTTCCCTAGGAGGATGTGATGGGAGACAGTGTCAAAAGCCTTGCTGAAGTCTAGGTAGACAACATCCACTGCTCTCCCCTCGTCTACCCAGCCAGTCACTCCATCATAGAAGGCTCTCTCTTCAGAGGTGCACAGACAACACACCCATTTTATACATGTCACATTTAGGGGTGAGGCTGCAGTCAATGTTACTGTTTGTATGCATTACCACAGTGCCTAATGGCCTCAATTATGAAACATTACTCAGTGTGCTACATGACACAATATAAGCGAGAATAGCAATTTTCAGATGCTAGTGAAATGGCCAGAATGAGACCTAAGGGTAAATTTCATGGCAAATTTTAGAAGCCAAGAATTCAACCTGCCTAGGAAGCTACAGTTCAGTTTAGCTTGTATGATTAAACAGATTTCCCAGCTTATTCTCTGTTATCTGCTTCTGTGAAAACACAGATCCATTTTTATTATGATTTTCAAATATTAGTTTAGTTCATCACTGAAGCTCGTTAAACTTTCTAACTTGAATCAAAAAAGGAAACAAAACCTATTTTATAATGCAAGACGCTTAAACAAAATCTCATCTGCAACCACATACACACAAATGCTGCATGAAATTATATATTAAATATAAACCATTCTATTGAACTTCTTCAGGTGGATTAAAGAAAGCATATACAAATCCTTGTTATACGTCCTCTTTTCAGAAGGTAGGGAGCATATGAAAAATTACTTACCACAAATAAAGCTCCACTGGCATTGCACACAGCTGTTCTATGCAAGTGTCGAATTTGTCTTATCTACAAACAAAATAAAGTAGACAGTAATTGTGCAAATTATTGCCTACTGATTTAATACTACAGACTGCTTTCAGAATCAGCTTCATTTCTAGTGTAATTGTAAACCATAGATTGCCTTGTCATCACTAATGATTTAAATTAAGTCAACTGGAGAATATTAAGGGCTTTTCTGTATTATTAGGAGAGCATCTCTCTTAAACTCACCTTGATCATTTCAGACAATGTAGAAGTGAAATCCTTTAACTTTAAGCTGTGGCAGAAAAGTACCAGTTTGATGTAACAGCCTTGAATACAAATTCTCATCAAACATTCCATGAAGAATTTCCCAGTTTGTTATTTCATATCATATATGCTTTAACAAGTTTGCAGAAACTACCATAACTATTGAGCATACCTTCTCTTGTAAGCATTTACACACTTCGGCAGCTTATATGTAACTGAATAATAAAAGTAAGGTTAATAACACAAATCGTAAGGTTATGCAGCTGAAATACCAACAAAACACAGATCCATGTGCAAGTTGTGTTCAGCTAGCCTCTGCAGGACAATCTGGATCTGTCATGCCAAAATAGACGTACACTGCTAGATTCTGATCAGCATTGTTAAAGTCATTCTATGATATTATGTTGTCATGAGCTAACATTTTTATCAAATTTCATTTTATAATCAAAATGTATATTACACTTTACATTGAATCCTAAATCAATTTTCAGAGTTCTTAGAATAAATATATCTCAATAAAAAGCCCCTCCTTAACAGCTCAACTTCTGTTATTTTATAAAATCTCTGGGATTTCAAGGGGATCAGCATCACATTAGCAAAAATGAAGGCACAGGGTCAGATCTGAAATCCTAGTCTAACTACCAGGCCACTATAGTCAATGCTCTTCTATAAGAGAAACCAAAGCAGCTCAATCTTTTCAGCAGCAGATCACAGTTTCACCTGCCACTCCAAAGTGGAGTGGCGAAGACCACAAACCAAAGACCACAAACTACGGTCTTTCTCTGTCACATGATCAGTCCTTCCAGAAGGACTGGATTTTTTATTCAGTGTCATGCATATTAAGCAGTATGCACCCATTTCCTCCTTGCTCTCCACTTCTGGCTCACCTCTAAGCAACAGCCAAGAAAGCGATTCATTTCTACCATCATCTCAGGGGCCAGAGTGACCTCTGCGATACACAAATGGCTCTGTGGACTGCACACCATTTCTGCTTGCCACCTTTTCCAGGACACTCTTAGTCTATTTTCTTTATCAATCGACACGAAGCACATCAAGCTAACTGCACTAGGAAGCCTGAAGCAAATTTCGGGTCCAGCCCGAGTGCCCTTGATGAACCAGAAACACGTACAACTCAGATATAAGAAAAGAGTGTAAGTAGCACATACAAGTGACTCTGAAGTTGAGCAGGCAATGCTGAAATAAACACATAGATGAGGATGTGACACTCAGGTATAAATCCCACTAAGTGCCAAGTGAATCTACCATAAGAGTTTTGGCTCTGAAGAGAACCCGACTACATCATAAACTTCAGGCAGCTAACGATAAGAGACTCTCCTTCAGAGCAAAGCGCTTCAGGGCACTGAGGACAGATGCCTGCCCCAGGTCGCTCTCTGCAAGGATCCGTTTCACTCCAACAAAAACGGAGGGCAAGAGCTCCATGATTCGGTGAGACATCTTAGGTCTGACACTACAAAAACACTCATCCTCCTGGTGCCTAAGTGAAAACGCTGATTCCCAAGATGTTCTGTTCCCGAGCATCAAAAACTGTAAATACTAGACTTGAAAAAGAAATAGGAAAAGCCCCTAAAATGCCTTAAATAATTTCAGCTGGCAGGAAGAGCTGACAAAGGAGTGAAAAACAAACTAAGAGAACTTCAGGCCTTTTCCAAAGGTTGGCCTTATGCGCCAGGGCAAGTCAGAAACATTTCAGAAACGTAATTTCCACCGGGAAAACCTCACAACAACCTACAAAAAACACCAAAAATTAGAGCCTGCTGTAGAGGCTGCAGCCCTACCGCTCGCTAACCTTACCGCGGCGGGCAAGTCAACTAACCCCGGCATGCCCAGGTCCCCCGGCAGAAGGCGGCAGCTAGTTGTTCTTTCAAAACAATCTTCAAGGAAGGTGCCACAGAAGGAAACTGGCACCTGCAAGCTCGGCCACTGTTGTTTTTCTAGGGTTAGCCTGATAAATGAATAGACAGAGTGACGGTGAAGCTGTGCTTAAGCCCCAGGAGAGTTGGAGCTTGTTGGAGTTTTAATATCAACTTCAACAAAGCCGATCTATTCATTCCTGAAATCATTGCTGGCTTTGCACTGACTTCCTTAAGTGCCCTCTGTCAAATCACTGTATCTTTTTCCCTTATGCAAGATGAGCATAATGATAATAGCCAAGCACTATGCATTAAAAGCATCATAAAAACCAACCATATTTTGTCAAATTGTGCAGTATATAATTTCAAAGGATCTCATTTAGCTACTGTGCACTTTTCTCTTTGCTTGTTGGAGAATATTCTACCTATCATATGCATGGGTGCCTCACTTTAAATCAGTCCATCTGCTAACATGCCAACACGCCTCTTCCCGCCCCCCAGCATGGCCTGGAGGTTGGAGTCTCCCCCACAGCCCTTGCGAAGGGCGTCCCCCACCGGGGAGCGCCTGTCGGCGGCAGGAAAGCTTCGTGTGATGCGCCGCATCACTGCTTGGTAGCGACTGGGTTTTCCTGGCAGCTTCTTCGCTCCATTTGAAAACGCAGGCTCAGCAAGATGTGTCCACGATTGTAAAAGCCAGCATTTGTTTATCCAAGCGCCCGAAACGCTTGACTTTCTTCAAGTGGCTGCTACCCACCGAAAACGCAGAGCTCAGTTCCACAAAACAGCAACCTTGTAGCCAACTGTTTTTCGAATAGCCAATAGGTTTCTTCCACGAGGAAAAAAAAACCAGATAGCACTCCCTTATTAATATTAGTAAAAATTCAGTACCAGCCTGCTAGGGCGGGGAATGTAAATCTTGCAGTCATCAGGATTGCCACTCATTTTACTCAGTTAGCAGGTATCTTTACTGTGTTCTGGAAAGAAAAGTTATCCAGGGCACCTCACCTGCAAATGTCGAAATCCTGCCCTGTCAGGTGTGAAAAGTTTGTGTCAAGTAACATAGGCAAACCATAGGATCTGTGTGAGATCATTCTGTGAATTTTAACCCGTTGTGACGTACCCTCTGTGACATACTGTAGTGTGAAAAACCAAATCCCTGGGGAAGCAATTATTTCTAATAAAATATAAACAAGATTACAGAAACCAGTTATTTTTTATGGTTCTCAGTTTTCCTGCTCATCTTTTTGCCCAGCTTGTTTAAAGCTTGAACCACGTGTATCTACGTTTTGACCGACCTGGGTCAGAAAAAACAAGACTAAACCTTTGGATAACTCCTTGGCCCCTAATAAACGTTTCAATTTCACTTAATACATTAAAAATATTGGCACTGAATAAAGTATGAATAATTGATTCTTTCTTCTTTAAATGCAGCATGTTGTTAGAAACATTGGTCACAATTTCATCTTTGTGAGACGCCTTATTGTTCAGATCTCCAGAGGAGAAATGCCTCTCCTTATTTTTTTCACTGTGAAATAAATTCATGTAAGTAATTTGTACTGATGGGAACTCTGTGTTGCAGATTTGCAGAGCACCAGCCAATGTCCCAGCATCCCCCACCATCTCTTGCTTCTGCCGGAGCAGAAATATCCCCCACACCCTCTGCTCTCTTGTCTGCCCTGGCGCTCAGTGATACAGCCTTATTAAATTCATGCCCTTATGCAGTTCCCAGTGAAAATCTACCCACATATATTTTACCATTACAAAAATGGTGGTGAGCTGCTTGTTGACATCGAGAGTATAAAGTACTTTTTGCAAGTGTGTGATATAACAAACATTCAGCCCTTTTACTGTGTTTTCTTTCATCCAGAACATTTACTATTAATTCAGTATAGCTTTCCTGGTGTAAGTAGGCAGAGCTGGTTTTTTTTTTTACTGCAGGCAAATTTTTACTGGTGTTCTTCTGTTTTATTTTGTTCTGTCATGCCGCTTGAAATCAGGATGAACCTCACGAGGGTAAACTCCATTTTGTAAAAAACTGTTCGTGGCTACATTATGGATTTGTACGGATAAAATGACCCTTCAGGACTCTGTGTCGAGATAAAGGGTCAGAGTAGACAGAACTGCAGTGGCTCGCCTATATTGCTGGACCTGGAGAGCTCCTGTAAAAAACCTGTGTGTGTTGGAGAGACGGGAGTCACAGATACGTGGCCCGCCTCGACAGATAGGTCTAGACAAAGCCAAAGACGCTAAGCATATACAGGAACAATCTGAGATACTTGATTTTACTAGTCTTTCAGGCAATTGCATGTATATGTACCCACAGACATGTACCCATACATGTATGTATTTGCATGTACATTTGGCAACTGTTATTGTTACTGTCTTTTAAAGAGAATTCTTTTCATTTGCACGAATCAGCTAGAATGTGGCACTAGCTCTCTGGATAGATTACTGCCATTTAAATTTGGGTTTACTGTAGTTAGCAGTTGTCTTCCTACTCCTTATTCTTAATTTCCTCAGTGCTGAAGGCACTATCAACATTTGTAATTTAAGTGCAGCTGCTAGTATACTTCTGTTGATTGTTTTTACTTACTGTTTAGTCTCTTATCAGTCTCATTTCTGTACTCATATCTTACCTGAGATTAATTCCTCAAACACTTATAAGACTGTCTAAAGTAATGCAAGTATAATGGTGCGGCAATATTCAACCGCAGATTACGGATTCTGTTGCTAGGCCAAATTTTTATATCCTGTTGAGAATCTACCCTAGGCGTATAGGCTAAGAATAGCAAAGGCCATGTACGATTAGACTCAGGGACTGTTTCTATGCAGACAAATTCATAAACATTCGATTATATAACATAAAATATATAATTGTAGTAATTTATTAATTATATAAGACTTAGCCCAATATACATTTTTCATTTAGACTTTTTAAACACGTTAATAGGCAAGAAACAAAAGCATTTGCAAGCAGTCAGATTTTAAACTCAGGCTATTTATCAGATGACAACACTGAAAAAATAAATCGGAAGCAGAGTGTGACCTTGAATGGGAGTCCAGTATCTGCGGTGATCTGCAGGCTTACCCACTGGCTTTGTGCATTCTGCCTTCTACATGCATTGAGCTGAAGTGCAAAAGTACTATCCACACAGGACCTGATGCATCAAGACAAAGCATGTGCATACAACTACTCAAGTAGTCCGTGATTCCTAAGA